AGAAACATACCGTTCTACTGGAAGTACTAAGGAATGGGGATGGCATACAAAGGCATACCATAACTCTAAATGGCAGCCAGTACTTGCACGGATAAGAACGGTGTACCTGAATTCACTATAGTGAATCCTTCCTAAAACAATGACACTACCCGGGAACTACATCTACGTGTTGTTGCCGCATCAAACACAATATGGGCAGAAAATTCCGTCCATAGGCAAGGTCTCTTATGACACCTTGATCACATCTTCACTTATTTATTTAATCATTCATAAATTTTTAAAATGCACACAACACACAATGGGATAAGAAACAAACATGTGATTGGACCTTTCAGATCTTTTGACAGTCCAGGCAACTATAAAGTGTAGGCTTTACCCAAATAGCCAAACACTTGGTTAGAGACTAATGGTAAGGAATGCGAACAAGTTCAACAAGTAGTATCCTAGGTATAGGTATTGGGATCGGCTAACTTCATGGGAAATGGTAGGATAACCTCCTTACTCAATATTGGCATCACCGAAGCGTGAATGACATAAGCGATTGAGAATTTTATATACTTGAACTATCATCACCATACTTTCCTTGCTAGTTAAAACCATAACAACTCAGGTTCCTCAGTCTTGATCTGATGAAACGTCCAACCAAAATATTCCCCATTGACTTTCTTGATCCATTACTGAAACTGACCTTCAATCTGAACCTCATAGCCTTTGAACGGTCTTAATGGCACGAAGAAGCTTCATTGGCAGTATCCACTTCCTTGACATTCACATGACACTCTACAATCTCCTCAAAGCTCTACAACTCCATTAGCTCTTGTTTTCTCAAAAATTATTTTCTAAGTCCCTATAAAACATCTTCATGGTTGTTGGCACATCCTCCAAACCATAATGGATGAATCAGATTCAATCGACTTAGAAATCTTGGTATGAAAATCTCCCTGTACCAACTCCATAAGTTAAAACTCCAATCGGTCACATGCTTTGGGTAGAAAACACTCCATCTTGAACTCTCGAAAGAAATCTGCCTAACTTGAACTAACATTCCGAAAATGATGCTTGGCGCTTAATCACAGACTTACTGCATCCTTTTTGATGTTGTATGTTTCCAAATACTTCTTGCAATCCTCAGAACAATGGGCCACGTCAGTCATCTTCTTCCAGTGCTGCATTCGAAGTCTTCTTTAATCCCAAAATCTACATCTAACGGTTTAGTGCTTCCTTGGTATCGTGTTGTTGCATCATAAGCTTCAAGATGTCTCATTGTAACAGAATAGGGTTGCTGCGTCCATCGTCTTGTACTACAGTCGAACTATCTCCGCCACGAACGCTAAGCTTGAAACAAACGCTAAATCAATTAGGCTGGTACGGTTCTGGTACTGGTACTGGTATATCTGAGCATAAGATGGATAGACCTGGGCTACCGGAAGAACAAGTGCGTCTAAGAGTACATATAAAGTCGGATCGCTCTGAACTAGATCATCACAAACAACGTCCACCTTGACATCAATATCACCTGGGTCCGAAGATGTAATCGATGCATCAACTATGTCCCATATATCTTCGAATGATCGATATCAATACTAGAAGTTATAAGCACCGCAGGAAAGCATGACGATACTAACTCCGAGCATGAAGATAGAAAGCTCAAACATGACGGTAGAAAACCCAAGCTTGACGGGATCAAAATCAGTAAGTACGCTCCATCTCATCGAGCTTGTCATGGTGCATCTAGTATGAAAGATAACAGTAAGGTCACTACCCATGACTATCTATCCTAAGATGAAGGAACCAGCCAGCACATCATAATTATCCTTGCGACTCATTTCGACTCGAAAAACGTTGAAAACAAGTCCCACTCTAGCATCGTATAACCATGCTCTGATACCACCTTTGTGACACCCCTGATCTGGTCTAAGTACAAGTTGACTCAACCGGCTGTGCAACAATCAAACAAGAACGTCCACAGCCAATCACTAGTAACTTAAACCAAACCAACGAAGCCACAATGTGCACATAAACGATTAACTCAAAGTTCCCGGAATGAATCCAAGTACCTTAAGCCAATTGCCTAAGTACCCATATCCTATTAGGTACAACCAAAGGCTTTGCAACCCGACCGAGTAATACCCAATAGTTGGTTCGTCCGGACAAGGACTAATATCATATGGAACCCGTACTTAAAGAAACATCTTTATACATTATATAATATTCTTTCAAAAGCATCTTACAAAACATTAAGTATTAACCTCGAGGTTTTCGGTTAACAAACATTATATATAAGATATATGAAACGACTTTGCAAGGATAATAAATCTACCGCTGGCTGAAGCCGTTCCTTCACGTCCTATAGTAAAGGTCTCCCGCCTACTGGTTACGTGCATCACAAATGAGTCATGAGTAACTAGTTTACTCAGTGAGTCTAATCCCACACCCCAACACATATTAATAATATCCTGAACAGTGAACTCCATTTGTATGCAGTGGAAATATATTCCATAACTATATATATATAAGGCCACCTCCACGATACCCGCCAATCACTCATACTCATAATATATATATATATATATATGCTAAACCCGGAAAACCACCAAGGCTAACCGAACATAACGGGGAATAAATATAACCATCATCTCCATCAGATATTCCAAGATAGAACATCCCACGCTGCAAGCAGTTACACGGTCTCCAGGGTGCTACCCCATCATCGTATCTTCATGACCTTGATCCATATCGCAAGACCAATTCACGGCAATGCGGGACTTTTGGGAGAGTGAGTATACAATAAGACTTCATACGATTCCTACTTATAGTATTAATAGTATGCTTATATATTAGTACTTGAGAACAAGTACTAAGGTTCAGGGTAAACCTCAAATAATATTTCATAATTATTCTTTAGTGTTTAGATAATTAAACACCTCACCATAATTATAGGTTAAGATACTTTGCTAATCAATCAATCATATTCAGTAATTAAATCAAGCAACACTCTTTCATAAATCATCATTCATCTATCTAGACTCACCTTTGAATCCATAAGATTGGCTAAGGAAGACTAGACACGAGCTCAAGCTAAACGTTCACCACTTGCTGATCACTTCCCAAAACAGAATGAGGACAAGGCATGATCCAACTGGTCCGGCCACTCTCCTTGACCATCAATTTAAAATCAACAATATCTGAACTCAGCTGGTACACCAAATCTAGTTGAAGTCACGCCTACCCGAGTTAAACTCAAACTCTATGGTCACGCCTACCTCAGCTCTTGACCAGAACTTAGACTGATCCTTGGTATCCTTCTAAGACTTATTCTGACCATAAGTCGGAGTAAATAAGATCACAGAACCAAGCCGCTAGAATTACTCGGTACCTTTAGATTTATTCATGGACATATCTAAGTTTGGTCCTAGATATGAAGAGAAAAATCGACCAGACTCTGCTCTATTTCTGTCACCATCTTGGCCAGACTTATGAAATACTTCATATCAGTCAAGAGAAGACAAAATCATCTCCCCATAATTTTCTCTGATTTTTCTCTCCTATTTCTCTCACTGATTTTCTATGTTTTTCACTCAATATTTCTCTGGTTTTTCTTGCAGGTATGGACGTCCAGAGGAGAGAAGATGATGTCTTATATCATAGGAGGTTGCTTCACCTCAGGGTTTCACTCAGGACAAAGCAAGGAAAGGAGTGGACAGGTGGTGACCAGCTTCATCACTATCAACAGCCAAGCAGCTCTCCTTTCCCTCACATGAAGAAAGCTTTGCCCAGCCACATAATTTTTGTTTTATTAAACTGAGCCAGCAAGCAAGCAGACTGGCTGGTGCAGGTCATGTGACTTAATTACTGAGGAAGCAAGCAGGCTAGAAGGTGCAATGCATGTGACGGGTTAGCAAGAAAAAATAGAAAGCTTGTCGATATTTCAGAACAGTTTTCGACTAATTATTTCTCGTCCACTATTTCTCGTCCACTAATTCTCGTCCTGCTCTTGACTAGACTCGTCGACCTTGAATAAAACTCAAACATAGTAATTAACACTCGACCACAACTTTCAAGGGGAGGTCTTTCGACCACAAGACAATCCCGTCGAGAAATTAATTTTCTGGGTCGATTATTTTTTATTTTTCAATCTGATTGGACCAACTCAAACTTGTCGAGCGGAATTTTTCTCGACCAAATTCTAATCCGGTCGTGAGGGTTATTACAATCGGTCTCCAGTTTTAGATGACATTTTACAAGGTTGAGCTCCAAGACTTGAATTCATCGTCAACGGTCACAAATACCATAAGGCCTACTATCTCACCGATGGTATATATCCAAAGTGGCCTACCTTTATCCAATCCATCTTTATTCCTCAGGGTCCTAAGGCGGAGTTATTTGCACAAAGTCAAGAAGCAGCAAGAAATGATCTCGAGCGTGTTTTTGGAGTCTTGCAAGCTCGTTTTGCAATTGTTAAAAACCCAGCTCTTCTTTGGGACAAGGAATAAATCAGCAACATTATCAGAGCATGTATCATGCTACACAATATATAGTGGAAGACGAACGTGATAGATACACTCAATACGATACATCTATTTCGTAGAAGGAGAAACAAGCAGAAGTTCAGAGGTAGATTTCTCGTTCTCTACAAATATACCTTTAAATCTCAGTAATATGCTTGCCATTCAGAGTAAACTTCGCTATCAAAGGATATATAAACGATTAAAAAACGATTTAGTTGAGAATATATCAACAGAAATAATTATTGTATTTTAATATTTTTTGAATAAATATATTTTAATTTTCAATTTTTTTTCTAAGAATCTCACTTTGGAGTTTTGACATCCAAATTTAGGTTCTTAATTTTTTTTTAATTAAAATTAATTAAAAAAAAAAGCTATGAACCCATTAATGTTCACCGATGCCTTAGCCCAGACAGACATAGAGGCTTTAAACCCTAATTATCACCCAATTCGAAAACTTAACCTTCTCAAAAAGATTAGACGGAGGAGTCGATGGAGCAGTATCCGTATCAAAATCCCTTCGAAAGACGCCCAATCCTCAAATCCAAGGCTCCTGCTGTTAAGTGGATCAAGGAGTGGTAAAATTCGAAAAATATCTTCTCCTCCTTGGTGTTGAGGGCATTACGTATCTGTAATCGACTATAAATTCTTGTCCTTTCTTCTTCAGGGTTCCACAAGATATTCTTCTTCTGTGTTCTGTAACAGAAATTTCTTGATAGTTCAAAGTTGAAGAGACACTGGCTCATTCACACTGGGGCTAGGGACTTTGTATGCACTTATGAAGTCTGTGGAAAGGTTGTAGATTCCTTTTAACTCTCTCTTATTACCTTCATTTTTGCATCTATAAATGCTTTTAGGACGTGTTACCTGGTGCTATAGTATCTTTGGAATTCATTTTCACGCAGTAACTAACTTTTCGTAGATGATTGGAACAGGCATTCTCCTTGGATTTTAACCTCAGATCTCACATGAAGACTCATTCACAAGAAAACTATCACATCTGTCCATACTCTCGGTGTGGAAAGAGATATGCTCATGAATACAAGCTTAAGAACCATGTTGCTGCATATCATGAAAAGGTTGCCTTCCTTAGCCTGAATCTATTAGACTAGGTTTAGTTTCTCTTTCCTAGAGGTGGGCCTTTAGCCTAATGTTGTTAAGGCTTTAGTAATCTCTCTTGAAGGAAGCATGCTATCTTTTTTTCTGGTGCATTGCATATAATTCTAATTGATATTATGCTACGTGATTTCAGTTATCTACAACCGTCTTATGGTATCCATTATTAATTAAAATAGGTTGAACCTAGCTGTTCTTAAGACACAATGATTCTGATGTTAGAACTGTTCACTGTTTTAATAAAATGTGCTTGTGAAGATGCATTGCTGGAGAAATGCACCCTTTATTTATCCCCTTGTTAGCATCTTTGAACTGAAAATGGATCGGTGTCAGAAGTGTTGTCTGTTCATACTCAAAGTAACGTTGCAAATGCACAGCTAGAACAAATGCGTAGATTCTTCTGTGTAAATCTTTGTGAGCATTAAAGTATGCTTTATTTTTCCATCTTTGTGAGCATCTTAGAACTGATATCTCTCTCTCTCTGACTCTCTCATTCAATTGCATAACCGTTTGACAGAATGCTGCTGGAGAGACGCCTAAATACACGCCACCTGCAGAGAAAGTATCAAGGACTCCCAAAACACCTGCAACGGTTTATGGCTCAGCATCTTCGGAACGTCCATACTCATGCCCTTACGAAGGGTGTGAGAAGGCTTACATACATGAGTACAAGCTTAAACTCCACTTGAAGAGAGAGCATCCAGGGCATTTACAGGAAGAGAACGCAGAGAAGCCCACTCCGAATAAACACGAGTTGGAAGAAAGCAGTGACCAAGAATTTTACAGGAAACACGCTAGTAACGGGAAAAACAAGACAAAAAAAAAATCAACAGAGCAGAGCGAAGCCAAACATGCGGACACCACCAGCCAGTGCTAGAAAAAAAGGCTCAACCTCTTCACCGGCCAAAGCAAGGATGGCCAAAAAAACATGGCAAGTAAAAGAAATGTTTGAAGGAGAAAGAGACGAAGAGGGAGAAGATAGTGAGGAGACGGAGGAAGATAGAGAGAACGTGGATGATGGATGGAGGTTTGGGGGAAACAATGAAGAGGAAGACGATGAAGAGACCGAGGATGAAGACTAGAAGGTTTTTTGATTCTTCTGAAAGCCATACTTTCCATTTCTTGAGTAGGTGTGTTTCGCAATCCCTATTTCTCAGCTCCCTTGTCACTCTTCTAATTTTAAAAGCTCTGTACATTGTTCTCCCTCATAATATTTTTTTAGAACGTGTTTATTTCTCTGATTAAGACAAAAGCTTTTCTTGTGAAGTAGACTACTATATTCGTTATATGCTAACACGGATGTAAGTATCATTGTAGGGGTTTTTCAAAAACATATGTCGTTAGTCAAAAAAAAATAAAAATAAAAATAAATTGTCGTTAGTCAGTAAATATGTTATCCTAGCGACATTAAAAAACATTTGTGCCGAAATACGTTGCATTTCAGCCTCACGGGGGCTTTCCTGTAACTTTTTTCCTATAGGAAAAGAAGAAAATAAAATAAATGATGACGTGTCAATGCATTATCCCCATCGCTTCTTCCCAACATTGATTCATTTCAATTTATTCAAAATTGCATCATCATCTCTTGTAGCTTTGAATCCGATTGAATGCCCAAGCCTCCTTTGGATCCTTCTTTGTCCCGCGACAGCTCCGAGGCAGAGCGCCGACTCCGCGAGGCGGAGGAAAGGCTACGTGATGCCATGGCGGAGCTTCAGCGCAGACGACAGCGTTCGGCGGCGCGGGGATGTCTGTGCGATCACGCTGACGTATCCTGCGTCGCCAATGCCGTCGGGAATCTCTGCCAGAGCTTCCTCCTCTCCTACGGAGTCAGGGTTGGGATCGGTATCCTTCTCCGCGCCTTCAAGCTCGCAAGAGGGCAGTCTTATTCGTCCCTGCTCGATCTCAAGGTCCTCAGAAGAAAGAAGATACCATTCTTCACTTTGTATAGCATCTTGTGTAATAATGCCTTTCTTCTTTTGTAGCAACTTGTGTCGGAGAAAGATTTGATTGTTAGGGAAGAAGCATGTCGTATTGGTCTTCTCTTTGGTGGCTTTACCGGTTCCTATCACGCACTTAGATGCTCTTTGAGGAAGTGGAGAAAGAAGGAGACGCCATTTAATTCGTAAGTAGTTCATGTTTTGTCTGCTTTGAAAAATGTATGACTTTGATTTAGGGTGGAGCAGGGTCTTAGCAGGTTCCATTGCGGGTTTGTCCGTTCTTGCCTTAGATGATTCCAACCAGCGCCGCACACTTTCTCTCTACCTCTTGGCTAGATTAGGCCAGGTACATCTACAAATTTGTCTGTCACTACTCAGATGAGTGTCTGACCTTCCATCTTGTAAACAGGCGGCTTACAATTCCGCCAAGTCAAAGAACAAATTCCATCTTTGGGGAAGCCATTGGAGACATGGAGATTCTTTACTTTTTTCTCTTGCTTGTTCCCAGGTATTTGAGATTTCTCCTTCTTTATTTTTTTTTTCATCTAAGTGATCTATGTGATATTTTCTTCTCATCTATTGACTTGTTTTATTGTTGAAAGAGAAAAGCTTTGTTAATTAAATTTATTCTTTTTTTTTTTCATTCTGATCAGCGCACGCTAATTCTGTTGCTTGCAGGTTATGTATGCGTTTATAATGCGTCCTGAGACCTTGCCGAAATCATATAGAGAATTTATTCAGAAGACAGGTCCAGTTGCAAGGCCTGTCTACCAGGCTGTAAGAGAATGCTGCAGAGGTGGTCCAATCGATGTAGCCTCCTTATCAGCCTATATCTCTAGTAAGAATGAAGCCAGTGATGTGAAGGTCGAAGAGTTCGCTTCCATCATCCCTTGTTCAGCTATTCATCCACACACTAATTCGTGTCTTGCCCAAAATGCTAATGCAATGTCAGCTACATTCAAGAAAACATTTCCCTTATACTTCTCCCTCACATTTGTCCCATATGTTGTTCTACACCTGCAAAAGGTAAGCCTACCTTAAAAACTCTGATTCTTTTAATATCCTCTTACTTTATGCTCCACTCAGAGATAAATGTGCCATTCTACTACACTTTCAGTTCATGGCTTCTCCTTACCGGACATCTTGGCATGCAATCAGAGATTCTGTTCGATCCACTTCCTTCTTGTCTGCTTTTGTTGGGATTTTTCAGGTAGCTGATGTTGACATTTTGATTGTCTCCTAGTTTCCTATAACCCCTTCCATTTACGTCTCTCCATTTTGCACTAGGCTTTCATTTGTGCGCACAGAAAAGTTGCACCCAGGGATCACAAGCTCGTTTATTGGTTTGCGGGTGGTGTAGCTGCTCTTTCGGTTATGTTGGAGAAAAAACCAAGACGCTCTGAGCTTGCACTATATGTTCTTCCACGAGCAGGAGATTCTCTGTGGGAGATTCTTGTTAACCGCCATATTCTTCCCAATATAAAAAACGCCGAGGTATATTTCAACTACAATTCTTGTTTCAAACTTTCTTCTCCTTTAAACAATAGAACTGTTTTTATATACCAAATCAATGAAATCAGGTTGCTGTATTCTGTGGATGTATGGGAGGAATCATGTATTACCTAGAGCATGAACCTGATACATTGGCTCCGTTTCTGAGAGGACTCATCCGTCGGTTTCTTGCTAGTCAAATAAGCAATCCAAGTAGCAAAATCAGTCAGGGTTCTTCCTATATGTATTTCCAGACTCTGGATGCCTTAGAGAAGCCAAAAGCGCCGGAGAACCGGGAAGGTGAAACTCAAAAAGCTGAAGAAAAGTATAACCTGGAGGCAATTCCTGGTCTTTAGAAACAAATATATCTGATAGTTTCAACAGCTGTATAAGCATCATGGATCAATGGTTTTAATAAAACTCCCCCGGAAGAAAAGGGTTTATCCACAGAAAAACTTGAGAGGTTGAAGGGATTTTTATAGGATTTAGGTGTCTTTGGTTTCTTTTAACTATCTTCCCAAAATAACAAAAAAAAAAATTCTCTTATTAATTGCAACAAGAAGATTTATGGAAATGTACATTCACAAGGCCTCAAGGCACAAACAAAAGTTGTCTCGCTGTAATTTTGCTTAGTTCACCCAAACTCAGTGTTGAAACAGATATGTAATAGTCTCAGTGATATACATTCTCGCTTTATGGATGGACCGGACCAGCAATCCATTAATGTCAATATGTCATCATCATGCTAAACGTATGAAGATAATTCAGTTCGTTCAATAAAGTATAAACTCTAAAAATGATAATATTTTATAAAGAATTATGTGTGTCAAATTAAACTGGATGAGATTATTTAAAAAGTAATCAAGTAAAAAATTTAAAGCGATGTGTCAAATTTTTTGATTATTTGGCCATGTGTGCGTGAATGGGAAAAGGCCTTATTCCTACCCAAACAATTTCAATCGTGCCAAATACAACCCGAACAAACATCCAGTGCCAAATACGACATGAACTATGTTATAACTCAAAAATACTACATGAACTTTTAAAACGTGCCTAAACCTACATTGACCGTAACAGAAGTTAATCAACCGTTAAAATGATAAAACGACGTCGGAAAAAGGGCCTATTCCTACCTAAACAATTTCAATCGTGCCAAATACAACCCGAATAAACATTCAGTGTCAAATACGACCTGAACTACGTTATAATTCAAAAATACTACCTGAACTTTTTAAAACGCGCCTAAACCTACATTGACCGTAACAGAAGTTAGTCAACCGTTAAAATGATAAAACGACATCGTTTCGATTTCATTATTTTTGAAAAAATATTACCATTCCGGGATTCGGACTCAGGCCTTGCCACTATTTAAAACAGACATATCAACCACTAGACTAATGCAATTTTTTTAAATAATACTACAAATTTGCAATTATATATGCCTTTATACTTTTTCATCTTCTCTAATTAAAACTTTGGTTATTCTTATTTTTGATTCTTATTAATATATTAACATAATTAATAAGCTCATAAATACTAAAATATAAATAATAAAATATTTATAATTATACAAAATTAAATATATCTCATGTTTTGAAACTATTTACAAAATGTCCATATATAACTTATTTTAAAACTTGAATGTTAATTTCTTTTGTTTCTTAAAATTAATATAAGTTGAATATACTTTATCAAAATAAAATAATTTACCATTAATTTTAATTTTTAAAATAATTTATATATGGAGATTTTGTAAATAGTTGAAAACCATGAAATATATTTAATTTTGTATGATTATAAATATTTTATTATTTATATTTTAGTATAATATAAGTTTATTGAAGATATAATAATTACAAAATATGTTAATATATTTATAAGAATCAAAAATAATAATAACAAAAGTTTTAATTAGAGAAGATTAAAAGTATAGTAGCACATATAATTGCAAATTTGTAGTATTTTCTTAGAAAATTGCTTTAGTTTAGTGGTTGATGTGTATGTTTTAAATAGTGACAAAGCCCGGGTTCGAGTTCTGGAATGTTCACTTTTTTAATAATAGAATCAAAACGACGTCGTTTTATCATTTTAACAGTTGACTAACTTCTATTACGCTCAATGTAGGTTTAGGCACGTTTTAAAATGTTCAGGTAGTATTTTTGCATTATAACGTAGTTCAGGTCGTATTTGGCACTGGATGTTTGTTCGGATTGTATTTGGCATGATTGAAATTGTTTGGGTAGGAATATGCCCTTGCCCTTTTCCCGACGTCGTTTTATCATGTTAACGGTTGACTAACTTCTGTTACGGTCAATGTAGGTTTAGGCACGTTTTAAAAAGTTCAGATTGTATTTTTGCATTATAACATAGTTCAGGTCGTATTTGGCACTGAAAATTTGTTCGGGTTGTATTTGGCACGATTGAAATTGTTTGGGTAGGAATAGACCTTTTTCCCGTGCGTGAATATGGGGCATATGAATCGTTATAATATCGGAGTTCGAGCTACATTCAGATTTTTTGTTTACATTTAATTATAATTATATATTTAACTAGGTGTTTCTTCTTATTAATATTTACTTCTTCCGTTTCAATTTATTTATTATTGTAGAGAAATTTTTTTGTTTCAAAATAAGTGTCGTTTGATGATCTCAAGA